CTGTTTCATGGACTCCATCAGACTCTTCAAGTCATGCTCCACGTAATCCATCACAATATAAATCTTGTCCATGTTACTTCCAACAACAATTTCCTACAACAAATATTTCACTATTACAGATCACCATTCAACATAACCAGATATTCAAGTTGGAGGGAAGGTATGGGTGTATGTGTGTGTGAGAGTTGTGGAGAAGTAGGGTTCAGTAAATGTGGTGAGAGATACAGTGACTATTTTCGCGTGTTGTGCCTTCACTATGTCTCCTTAAACTGTACAAGAACAATGGTGTAGCGGACTTACCCTAACTGTGACTATGTTCATGTGTTGCGCCTTCAAAATGGTGTTAATCTCTCTTATCGAGGTAATGGGGAATCCTTCCTTTTCTTTCTCCATCTTTAACCTCTTCAGTGCTACAATTTCATCTGAAAAAAAAAAAAAAAACAATCTTATTATAGGTACTGCAATACATAGGGAACACATTATGGGGTACTCAGGAATTTTGATCAATCTCCTACTTTTGAAGAATCTACCCTTGAATACCAAATTGTGTTTCAAACTCAAAAGAAAAAAAACGGATATGTTTTAAAATCCACTGTTTTCTCTGTATGAAATTTCAGCAGCAGTTCCTATCATCGAGGAATCTATATTGCGTTACAAACTCAAAACACCCTGAATACGTTTTTAAATCCACTTTTTTCTTCAATTAAACAAAATTTCCTCAATAAAGTTAAATTCAGCCTACCCTTTTTCTTATCCCTGGCCCTGTACACCACCCCATACGTGCCCTCCTCTATCCTGTTTAGACAGTGGAATTCCTCCACACTTCGACAGCCTTGGATTGCGGGATAATAGGACGGGAGTTCCTTTTTGAGTTCCACGGGGGACTGGGGAGGGGTGTCGTCAAGGACCCCCTCAGCATAAGCCGCCTCTGATGGCTCAGGGACTGACTCGGTCTCACTCTCCTCAGGAGAGGACTGATCATCGAATTTAGAGCGTACTTTTTCTGAAATGAACAAAGAGAGCAGACATATTTTATCAAAGAAATTAACTCAGATAGTGCTGAATTCCATCAAGGCAAAAAGTAAATTTTCTTTTTCAAATCACACATTTGTTTTTATTTACTTATTAACATTTCAAATTTCATACTTCCGTTTAAAAATTGTGAAACACATACTGCATTTGACAATGCTGATAGAAAATTACACAAGAAAGGTGACAAACCGAAAAATGAATTAGTATTCAAATGAATTTGCAAAAATTAACTGATATTCAAATAATTAAGTAAGTATATTTTCTTAAATTTGACCAACATTTCATCAAATACTGCAACCAGAGAAAAATTCTATTCCAGTTATTGAAAATAATGTTGGATATGCACACCTGGCTTAGGTTTCTGTTCCTCCTCCTCCTCCTCTGCTGAGTCACTGTCTTCAGATTCTCCACTGCTGCTACTACCAGACTCGGACTCCGACTCACCGCTCCCGCTCTCCTCTGCGACTTGTTGCTCCTCTGCCTCGCTTTCACTTTGCTCTGTGGCCTCTTTTTCAGACTCCTCGCTGGATTCTGGGGACTGCCTGTCGTTTGTCACTTCTTGTGTTTCCATTGCCTCCTCAGCGTGCTCAGGGGTGACCTCTGGGGGCAGGATTGGGGACGGTCGTTTTTCTGGAATGTGAAGCCAACTTTGTAATTTTTTACCCTTAATCTTTTAACATACAGAAAACAAATTAGATTTAGAAGCAGTTACGTGTCTTTAAAAATCATCTAAGGCATAAGTTGATAATCTAAATTCATAGATGGTTCTTAATTGAACGAAATTCTACATAAGGTGTTAAGGTACCCTACAGTGTGCTGCTATACATTTTAAGGTATTTACATATATAGTATATGAAATACTGTTTCTAAAGTCTATGTAATTTGTAATAAACCTTGTAACCCCAAACAACTTTAAACATAAATTATTGCCATATTTTTTAAAGTTCACAACTGGCCTGTTTTTCAATAAGGGTAACTCTGTAAGGTAAATTTTAACACATTAAGGTGAGGCTCTACACCTAAAAATTGGGATTTTTGGACCTAGCTGAGACACCTCAAAATGTTTACCAAATGTCTGGGTATAATGAAAAATATTAAAATTAACAATTTTAAAAGCTCATTATCATATGCAAATTAGGTTAATTATGCAAATTAGGCTAATTATTTATTTTAAGTCGTTTTCTGCAAAAATAAAAAAACAGAATTAAAAAGGTATTATGGTTTTTGAGATATAATGATTTTAATTTTTCCCCAAAAATACGCATAATTAGCCTAATTTGCATATTTTAAAATTGTTAATTTTAATATTTTTCATCATACCCAGACATTTGGTAAACATTTTGAGGTGTCTCAGCTAGGTCCAAAAATCCCAATTTTTAGGTGTAGAGTCTCACATTAAGGGTGTTGCAAGAGCTAAGGCACACTTCAGTATACCCACCCTCTTCCCTCGTGTTCCCGCGCTGGTTACTACCCCGCGTGCGACTGTCCTCTCTGTCCTGTCTGTCTGTGTGTCTGCTGCGACTGCGGTCAGGGCGTGATTTGTCTGACCTCCTCTCTTCTCGTCTGCGCTCACTTGAATCTGAAATAAATTGACAGGGTACTTACAATTCTTTTCATTAAGGTGTTGAATGAAACATGGAGCTGAGTGCAATAAGCTGGGAGAGAACGCTTTATCCAAATTCCCTACATACTTTAATCTGAATGAGATAATGCAAAATACAAATACCACTTCTTTTTTCCTAAGTTGTCTTCTGTTTGATTAAAAATTTCTGGAAATTTTGATAAAAATCATGGTGCCACTGACTGAGGTCAGAAACACAAAGCTTTATATATATATATAAAAAAAGTCACCTTCGCCTGCTTTTCTTGACCGTGGCTCCCCCTTTCTGTGCCTGCGTTCTAGATCTCGCTCTCTCTCCCTGGCCATCCTCTCCTTCATGTCACGTTCACGTCGCTTTTCTCGCTCCATGTTTTCTAACCTCTCCCTGGAGTTGTAAGAGTAAATTGAATTTTTGATTCTTTAAACTTTTAATTAATAAGTCTAAAAACTTTTTGGTGAAATGCCCTATCATTGGAGAGAAAAGTTTGAGAGCCAAAGTAAGTTTATCCAATGTCAAATGATAATGTTGAGTTAATTAAAGAACTAATTAAATACGAACATATATCAGCTTAAAACAATCTCACCATTTGTCAAAACAGACTTTATCATCATATAGAATTGTGAACAACAGTCCCTGCTGTATTTGATAAATATAAATAATTAATAGATAAGTTAATTATTTATATTTGATAAATATAAATAATCAACTTATCTATTAAAAGTTTTTTCCAAAAGTTAATTCCTAATTATGTATTATCAAACACTGACTGACCTTTCCCGCTTAGACTCCTCCCTCCTGATATTTTCCTCTTTGATCCTCATGCGTTCCCTCTCTCTCTGGTCCAGGCCTTTCTCCTGTCTCTGCTCCCTTCCTCTCTCAACTCGTTCCTTCTCTCCCTCCCTGCCTCTCTCTCCGCGCTCTTTCTCTCCCTCTCTGCCTCTCTTTCCTTGAAGAAACACAAAATTAATTTTGTTTTACCAAAAGATTAAAACATGGGAACGAAAAAAAAAAAAAATTATATACAAAAAATAAATGACAAAGTAAAACAAACTGCAAAAATTATAAGTAAATTAATATGATAAAAAAATCAAATATTTCCGTTATCAAAGGGAAATTTCTTTTGAGGTCTCATTAAGAGAAACAGAGTGGAAACTGTTCTAGCTCTAATGTAATGTAGTCTGCCTCTGTCTTCTCTTTGCCTGTGTACATTTATGTGTACTTACTGTAGTCGTTGCCTGTTTCTGTCATCTCTTTATGTTTATGTTTACTTACTGTAGTCCTTGCCCCTGTCTCTGTCTTCTCTGTGTTTACGTTTATGTTTGTGTTTTTCTTTCTTGCCTGCCTGAGACTGTGGAGGTTTAATGTCAAGAGATTCCTGTTCCTCATGTCTGAAAAGTAATGGAAAATGCTTCAGTATTTTACATTACCTTCTCTTTTAAAATTGTTATCACTTGGGTATTTGAAATACATGTTGCTACATCTGTCTTTCTTTTCTTTTTTTTCTTTATCTCACTCACTCTCCTTTACTTGTCCTTTAGTCATTCTTCTTACCCTCATTCCTGAAAGCTTTTTTCTCTCTTTTCCTATTTCTCTCTCTCTCACACACACACACGCGCACTCACATTCCCCCCTCAATCTCTAATATTCTCTGCCCTTCTTCAACCATCACTTACTCCCCACTTATTATTTTTCACTCCGTACCTCTCCTCCTTCTCTACACTTCCCTCCTTCCTTGTATCTTCCCTGTCGCTGCCAGCAGAGGCTGAGGAATGCTGGGAAATGGCAGACTCCTCATCCTGTATCACCACACGCCTGTTAGGACTGTTGTCTGGGGACGCTGACAACTCTCCTTGCTCCTGCTCTGAGTCAGACATTTTATGTCAGAGAACCCCTGAAAGCATAATTACTTCATCAATGGCAGGTCCAACTACTAGTAAATGGGGTAACGAGGAAAAGGGGTGCGGGTTGGGGGGCAGTTGCCACGCTTTTGGCTTACAAGCTGTGGGTAAGATCTTGTACCCCTCTTCCTTCCTGGGTGCTTTATGAGATGTGGATAATAACCTCAAGAGTTTGAGACAATGGGTGGAATGATACGAAAAATATTTTCACGTAAGGCCGAAAACTGAGGCAAGAAGAGTTAGAGAGGGTACAGCTATACCCCACTCCTTAGCTTTTAAAGTATCCCCCCCCCCAAATAAGGTATAACAAAAGCATACATATTTGGACTTGATATTACTCACCCGTTGTAATAACCCCAACAAAAGCACTACAACAGTTCCTCTTTCAACAAGAAGCCGGTCGGTATTAGTTTCTCGAGTGTTCAACGATCCACCTGTAAGTTACATGTATGCCTGGGTACCTCCAAAACCCAAGGGTACGAGTCTTTTTCTCAAAATATATAGATGTCGTCATACACGACTTGGCAGTATTGTATGGATCATTTCCACCAACTTAACAACAGGTGCGTGTTCCAGTCGTTGCAATATGGCCGCCTCCACTGGCGTGAAAAAGTGGATAGATGGCGCTGTTCATAATGAGGAGCGCGGTATTTCTACCTCTTATAATCACTCACGTTAGTGATTTCTACATAGTGAAATCTATGTATGGAATAAATGAAACTGAAAAATATAGACTATTTCCATTATTTGAATGTCTTTTTTTCGGATAAAAAGCTCCATTTCGTGTTAGCAAAGAAGTATGATTTTAGCCAGCACTATTTTTAGCCTTGATTTTCGGGTTTGTGATTGTGAGGTTTATAAACACAATCGGGAGGCAGAGCACAGTCGTCTGATCAGAAGCGTGGCCTGATTCTGGGGATTTCACAAATTAAATTTACAAACGAAAGGATGTAGCTTAATAATAATAATAATTATTATTATCATTATTACATTATTTGTTGCTATTGGTCACGGATGCTAAAAAGTCCTATGAGCCGACCTTAATTATGGCTCGAAGAGGATAAAAAAAAAAAAATAATAATAATGCTTTTTTGGAACTAATACAACACATTAATTTGTTAAATATATTAAATTAAATTAAATTCCACTTGATTAAAGTGTTTAAATGAGATAATATAATAGGGGCCTATTTGGTAGGGTCTACATTGATGATGTTTGAAATGCATTTTGAGTCCTATTTAAGAACCATACAATATATAAGTCCATTATTTTTCTTTGTTCAGTGTCCATGGTATGAAAATCTGTTGATAGTCCTTGGTTTATAGACATTATAGGCCTACTTTTGAGGTCGGCCTAGAGTATAAGACTCCTTTAAAACTCTGATTTGATTTGTGATCTTAAAAACATTTTTTTTTGCATGCAGATGTGGCAATGTTTAAATTTTTAAGTGTTTCAGCATACTGAAAATCAGGATATGTGAATAGGCCTACACATCTTCGTTTCTTAACTGTTTCAATTTTGTTACAATGTTAACGTTGCCTGGGTGCCAAATGTGGCAGACGTAGCCTACATGAATTTATATATATCAGTAATGTTAATAATTTATTTCTTAAAACCCGCTACATTTGCGACTCAGCTAGCGCTGTTTACATGTAAACTATAAAACCAAGATTAATTATAAAAAGTAATACAAAATTATCAAAGGCTAAAAAGACATAAACTAATCGAAATATTCTTTAAATAAAGGTGTCTTAAAATTTCTTTTAAACGGTGAGAAGAGTCTTTATTAGCAACTTTTGATTTGTTACTAAAATTGAACCATGAAATTGTCTTTTTTGTATCTTTTTTAACATTGGTTGAATTTGACAACTGGATCTAAAAGTTCTAGTAGGCATATAACTATATTGCTAGTTGTACCATATTCAAATAGTCACCCTTTAAAAATGTTCAAGTCACCAGCATTATTTTTAACTATCCTTCTAGATATATGCATAGAAGTCTCTACTTTATGATATATATGTAACAAATGTATCGGTACCGGTTCGCGAGAAACTGGCGTAATGCGATCAGGCTTGTGAGTTCTACAGAGACTTGCAGCTGGATTTTGAATAAATAGGATTTTTCCCTTTTGATAGTTAGGTATTCCAAAATCCCTTCTCTTTTTAAAAATACTGGCGTTTTTCTTCATGTTTCATAAATTTGTCGAAAAGTGATGTGGGGTCCTTTTTATTCTTTATTGTATTCCATCTATTTGTTTCTGTTACTAATAAGAAACTGTAGTTATAGAGGTAGCCAAAGGCATACATAGTGTCAGGAACCACAGTATAGAAAAAGTGTAATTAGCACTTTTAAAATTTTCATACATGATGTAGTATTTTTTAAATCAGAGGAAACCATTGTGTGATAAAATTCATATATGGGAAGCCATGTTGTATAAGTAGCTTCAGATAATACTTCACACCTTGCAGTTCAAATTTTAATGTCCTTTGTTTCGAAGCCAGTAATCTCTTAGAGCTTGTTTACAGGGAGATGTTGGGGGTGCCCACCATGAGGAGGTGTACTTGTGTCTGAAGTAACCAATCAGTTTTTAAGTTATGTGATTGACAATTTAATTGATAAAGTTTAGCATAAAAACCTGTGAACTTAAAGCTGGAGAGGAGAACAGAGGTAGAGAAGAAGAGGGCAATTGGAAAGAGAAAAGTGGAGAGAGGCCATGCTTGTAGACCTACCATGCAACTTTTAGTGTAGCAAAATATATTCTGTTGAAGTTACAACATGGAGTCGTTTCATTCTTTTCCGTGTGCAGAATTTAAGACATGGAACCTGGGAATCTCTGTAGCAGTATTACAGAAAGCGTTATCCAAAGATATGAGCCCATGGTACCCAAACCCCTGGGGTTATCTTATAAATGTAATGTGGGGTCCCGAGATGGTCTTAAAGGGGGGGGAGGTCCCCACAATAGGCTACACTTGAGGCGAACAATGGCGGGCATTCTAAAATGAAATATAAAAGAAAATGCCCCGGAAGCAAACACCCAGACACCATTGCATATAATGAAATTGAAGTCGATTATTCATCATATGTATTATTTACCTGTGCAATAATCTCCAAAGTCCAATTATTTGTATATTTGTAAGTAGTTCTTGCAAAGGCTGATAAATTAAGGCATCATTTCAACAGGTAAATTTGCCTTCATTTCACTATACAAGAAGTTGGTGACTAATGAAATATTTCGCACTCCTGTTAAATAAAACGGCCACGTAGAAAATGTGGAATTAGGAAACAATGACGTAAAGAGGGTCGCCATATTGTTTCCGACAAGCAATAAGTAAGCTCTACTGAGATAAACAGAGAGGAGCGATGTTTATTTTATCTAATAAAATTGTATTTTTGTAAAATGCAGAAAACTATCGTTACATATTTAAGACAAACAGTGGCGGGCATTCTAAAATGAAATATAAAAGATCATGCCCCGGAAGCAAAACACCCAGACGTCATTTCATATAATGTTAGGTCATAAATCGATTATTCATTGTCATTGGTATTATTTACAATTAATTTGTATTTGCATATTTAAAGTAGTTCTTGCAAAGGCTGATAAATTAAGGCATCATTTAACAGGTAAGTTTGCCTTCAATTCACTACACAAGAAGTTGGTGAGTAATGAAATATTTCGCTCTCCTGTTAAATAAAACGGCCACGTAGAAAATGTGGAATTGGGAAACAAGGACGTAAAGAGGGTCGCCATATTGTTTCCGAAAAGCAATAAGTAAGCTTTACTGAGATAAACAGAGAGGAGCGATGTTTATTTTATCTAATAAATTTGTATTTTTGTAAAATGCAGAAAACTATCGTTACATTTTTCAAAGAACACAAGCGGATACGTAGTAAAAACCCATTCAGTGCGTCAGTCAACTCGTCATTAAAACCAAAGAGAAAGAAAATAGGCGGCAAAGAACCAGGGCAGTACACTTGAGTGACTATATACTTTCATACAGATACTGTGTAGCAGGGGGTGCGGGTACATGTATATTCTGAATCTACAGCGGCAAGTCTGCATGTTGACTAAATTAATATTAATTCAATTTTCTTTTACCTTCTACTTCAGGTAGCCATGTTTAAAGACCCCTTGTTCCCAGTGTGTTTCGTCGCACTGTCATTGTTACAAATGTCAATGATGGATGGAGCAAATCTCAACCTGTGCCGCTTCAACTCGACTGATTATGTGGTTACCTTGCACTCAACAGGAGAAGTGGTTTGTTGCAGGGAACGTACATGTCCACCTGGTGCGTATACTTTGTACAAGATTGTCCCAACCAGGCAGTAATGCTTTTTAGCAAATCCATTTTATAACATAATATACCGGCGAGCAAAGTGCCGTTTGCGAGTGTACGCACAATATATAATAAACGGTATCCCTGCATCTAGAGTGATTTTTCAAAATAGGTCATTTTTTTGTTGTGTATGAAAAGGCTTTAAGGTGATTAAACTGAGGTAGATAAACTGATTTTATTTTGCTGAGCAAATATTGACAAATGTACGTGGGACAACAGACATGAACTCGCACTTAAAATAAATGTGTCGGCATGACCTCTTTTCACAAGTCTACAATCCGTACGCTGGAGGGTGGGTGGGAGGCTAATGCCCTCTGTACGTTTTGAAAAATAGTAAAAATTAAGGTCCAAATTGCTGTCAAAGCTCACCATTTTAAGCTTTTCAACCTCTACGCTCTAAAAGAAGGGGGGTCTTAAAAAGACTACGCTTTGTAGATTTGCGGAAAAAAAATGATAAGAAAATAGATGACCTCTAAACCTCTTATCCGTTCACTTTTTACAGGACATTATGCTGAACCATGTAGCCCTGACAACCCCGAGACCAGTATATGTCATCTCTGTTCCCCAGGGACATTTCAACCCAGACCCAACCTGCTTGGTACCAAATGCATCCAAAAGTAGGTTTTACCTTTCATCAGCTGTTGGCTGAACTGCAGAGTATGAAATAAAACACAGTGGGGTATGCAGGTAGTGCAAAGATGTGTCTCCAAGTTAAAACGTCTATAAAGATTTAGGCTTTTACAGTATTGCTCTGGTTTGTAACAGTTACATTTACCCTCAGACAGGGGTCTTTGCCCAATTTGTTATAACTTGAGAGACCCCTGGTGGACGGTTACTGCACCTCAGCAACTTAAAGGCCTAAACCTGTTACAAAGTTGAATGAAAACCTTTTGTTCAATTTTGTAACAACTTGAGAGGCCCCTGATGAAGGGGAAACGGTTGTGGGGTCTGATCACAAGCTTTGGGGCAGCCGTGCAAAGGGATTTTTACTTTTACTAATTGTATTATTATTTGTTAATTGGTTAACAACCATTATTTTTGCACGTACGATACAAAGATTGAAAACAGAAGTTTTCATACAAGTGTACATTACCGGTACAACGAAACTGAGGGTCCGTGTAAGAGAACCCCGCCCCCCCCCCCCTACATCTAGGTATAATGGTTAGGGTTAGCCCGACCTAAGTGGGTCAAATCTAGGATGAAGCTTACCTGTACAAGAAAATGGGAAGCGGATTCTCTATCACGGAGGATTCTCTGACATGTTACCGGCGTGACAGGAATGGTAGTCCGCTAGGAATCCTAGTCTGTTCCCCATCACTTTGTACAGGTGACATACGTCTCATATACTAACCCCAACATGTTCTAATCATATGGGATCCCGGACTTCCATTCCTAAGGCTTCCATTCCTGCAACACCCCGAATTAATATAAATTTTAACTTGATAGTTTAGATGTGATGTGCCAAGAATTATCTCATATTTAGCATTGAATAATTTCAGTTCCACTATCCTAATTTTAGAATATCATGCGATGGCTCATGTACAAAATATAAGCATCAAGGGACTTCGACAGAGGACGCAGAGTGCGAGTGTAAGCAAGGATGCTATTGGGATGAAGACTCTTCTTCTTGTAAAAAGAATAAACTGTGCCCGCCAGGGTATGAAATTGATGATCAAGGTAAGAAGTGACGTGGCCTTGGTCAGGGTAATAACTCTTTTATCTTTCTGTTGGGGTGATGTGTGTGTGTGTGTGTGTGTGTGGGGTAAAAGTCAAAGCACGGTCTATTCTTCCCAACATTTAAAATCTGCATAGCTTGTAAAATTAACCAAGGTAAAATGTATATTTAATGTTACAAGAAGTTACTAGAAATGCGTGTAATGTCGCTTCGACCATGATGAAAATTGCCTATCTTTCCCAAATATGTATACATATATGAATTACGAAAGCTGCTTAAAATAAGGTGCAACGTTTGGTTTATATACGGGAGGACGAAATGGTTGCCACCATTCCACAAAACAAACCCGGCTGATTACTCGCCGACCCGAAAAAATGTATAATACCTTAAATTGCACCAAGTTATCAAACATGTTTTTTGTACCAGAGTTTGCTAGTTCATTAACCATAAAGCTGTGATATTGAAATTATCATCAAATGTGTCTGTTTGTTTCACATTGCATATGTGTAAGGCGGGTGCACGGAATGCAATCATGGGACTTTCTCCGACACAAACGACAATTTGGAAAAATGTCGTCCTCACACCAAGTAAGTAAATATCCGACGGGCTTCTGTTATTTGTGCCTCGAAATGTTGTTCTGGCTGACAACCTTACATAATGGTCCTGACTCAATCCATAGAGAGACATGAGTTTTAGAAGATATAGGAAATTCACCTTTCTACTACATGTACCCGATTTATCAGCATGCCTTTGCCATTTCCAGTAGTGGCAGAAGTAAGGTGATAGTAGAGTGGTGGCTTTTATTTCTTTGGGCTTATTCCCAATGGAATTATTGTTCTACGTAGATTGCTTCAGGTCTGCGGGGAATCTCATTGAATGCAATCAGCATAACTGAATGACTTGTCCTCTCCCGGGTTGAGTAAAATAGGGCCTACAGAAAAATTGCTGGTGATTACACGAGTACATTGGAAACAAGAGTGAGCGCGTAAACCTGATTGCAACTATAGGCCTACAGTTTCAGTGGGACTTAACGGTTGTCTGATTTCGAAAAAATTATACTATAATGAAAAGAGATTGATTTACTTTGACCACAAATAAAGAACAAAATGTGTAATATGTGCCACAAATAATGATAATAAAACTGATACATGTAAAGATAAAAAAATTGCGAATGGGGATGGTATTTTGATCATGCCTACTATTGTAAATAATTATTTAATATTGCTTCTACTAATTACTTCCCAATATTACGGCAATGTATGATTCCTTATTTATGCTACATCATACTTACTTATTTTCAGATGTGAAAATTTCAACCGTTGTGTCCGAATTCCTGGAAATACCACAGACGATAATGTGTGTTGTGATCAGCAACAAGCGGATATTAACATGAAGGGTTTTATTATATATTTTTCATCGATTTTTCTGTCTTTATATTACGTGCACTGTGCAATCTATGCTTAGAATCTTTATAAAAGAAATCATTTTAATCTCGTGAAATCAACACTTTTTATTTGCACAATTTAATATTTCAACCTCAACTGGCTTATGAAAATGTTACAATTGCAAGGTGTTTTATCCCGGTGAGACCGTAATATGATGAAAATTAATATAATTTCCGTCACTAATGATCACATTAATTGCCATATGTTGTACCTTTAAAATCTTTTCATTCGTCTTCCAGGCATTGTGTCTGTCAGCCCATTAGAGAATGGATATTTACGCCTGAATGTATTGCTGGTTTCACAAGTAGTGATCTTAACTATTGCTGCAATTATTATAATCTCAATACTCATCCTTATTTTCAAACGTATGAAAAGATCAAATAAAAGAAAAGGATCCATATTTACATGTCATACATCAGGTAATAAGAAAGGGAACATTGTACAGAATAGTTCTAATATTTGTGTTTATACGTTTAAGCTTCGTATAGCCTTGATAGCTGCATCGTGCATAACCTTGAGGAGGAGATCAAACGCCACTTCAGATGAAAATTGGAACACAAACAGCAAAACATTTTTGTTTGTGTTTGTACCAAAAATGTTCTTATTAAAATTTGGTACGTTGCACGCAGATCTTTTTTTTTTATCTGAACGTTTGGTGTACCGACTGAATATTTCCGAAGCAATTTTATTGCAACGTTGCAAACTGCCTTTATCTTGTTTATAAAAAGCAGGTGTATAAAAGTAAATTCGATTAGTGTTGAATATGCTTGTCCAGTGTAACACCCTAGATTAACCAGGAAACAGTGTATTTTAAAAGAATCTATTCAGTCAAGGGCACTCAGAATTATACTTCCTGATATATCTCATGTTGGTGCCACGGTAAAAGCAAACCTTGTCACTTAAAATGCAGCTCTTAGAACTATGCGAATCTAGAAATAAAACACAAGCCGTATTACCTCTAAACATGCAGAACACACAGAAAGCTATGACAGAAGCAAAAAATAAAAAGAAACTTCATTGTAACAGAATTAAATACTAAACGTTTCTGAAACACTTCAATTCCGTTTTCGAACTCAATTTCATCTTAGTGAAAATCATTTACTCTATGTAATCATTTCTTTTCATAATTTTTATTACAGTTAATTTATCTGTACTACTTCAACTTTTTGGTTGTAATGTTTCAAATAAAATTATTCTAATGGGTAATTCATTAAATTTTAGCCAAATTTCGACGAGGGCCTGCAGAAGACTACATACCGATTGACTGTACGAGTGAACTTTCGTGCCTCAAAGGAACAAGTTGCCCAGATGAAACAAATAATCAATATTGCTTGGATGTTGCGGATTCCGAGGATATTCTAAGTTCCACTACTAGAACGAACTATTTGCCTTCGACGGTTTCAACTGAAGAGACTGTCCTGAAATCTCCATTTTCCTCAACTGGAATGGACATCGTGCCAAGGAAGGAAACAAGTGAGGCGACTGGTTCCGAGAGTACCCAATGTTTCACAGTTGCAACAAGCACTGGACCTTGGGCAGATCGAAGTGAGTTGACGGAGGAACAAAAGGTGTTGCTAGAAGAGCAGGAAGACGACATCACACATTTGAAAATGTAAGGCTGTGAAACTTTTTTTGTTTCTTTCTATTCTTGACGGAAATGTCCTCCCTTACGATTCAAGTTGAACGTTTTCAGCACTTATCTAAGTTTCAAAATTTAGGGGAAACATGCCTACACTAGAATATCAGTCAGCTCATTTTCGCCGTACAAGATTTAGCCATCAGTGCCCTGAAACTTGAGCGAGTGCAGATTGTTCTCTTTTTGAGAAAAGACGCAACACAAAGGGACACACCTTTGTATGATGAATTTATAAATGCAGAATCACCTATGTCAATTTCTTTTAGATTACCAACCGAAGACGGAGTAAAACTTCCGGAAGCCAAAATTATTGACGAGTCTTTGCGGTGCAAGACTGTCATTCCAATGTCCATTCCTGAAAGTCTGAATAAAAATCTTTTGCAGTGAGTTACTTTATTCAACTAAGGCTAATTATTGGGATGTACAGTTACTTAACGGGCTTCGTAAAATAGGTAATGCTATTCAATTTTATATATGATTAAGTTTTTCGCTGTGATTATAACTAGATTTTACTTAAGTTGAAAAGAGAGGCAAAATGGCGGATGTCTCTCATGAAGTTCACGGGCTTGTTTCAGATTGAAGTTTGTCGACATGTTTGGTTTCGGAAAGGACAGCTTTGAAGTATATGTCTGCAGCAAGCAGTTTGGAAAACACACCGAGCCTGAGGTGAAAAAACTGATAAAAGATTTGGTCAAGGCCCATGGGATGCTTTGTAAGTGTGACGTCATTGTATCGGTTACTCCAAAACGGTTATCATTCATGTGTGGCAAGAAACCATCCAGACCGGGGGCAAAGATTGTAATGAAGGGCATTGACGAGAAACACTTCGGATCCCTTGGGGGTTATTTCCGCACTAGCGAAGAAAATTCACCAGTGTATGTTATAACCAATGAGCATGTTGCTAAAAAAGGCGTTGACGTCCGTGTGATTCAACCTTGCGTCGCCGGAAATGAAGACACGTGCACGGACGTGCATAATGGGACATGTCGTTGGGCCATTAAGTCGGGCTCAACACCATCTCGGTTTGTCGACATAGCAGCCATCGAAGTTCACACTCTTGGATGGCTCCCAGGGATCGAGGACGGTCCTGGGGAAAGCGTTTTTAATGGTAATATTCAAAGTGTTATGGGGCAATTGGTTTTCAAGTATGGGGCAAAAACAGGTCTTACGTATGGCAAAGTTACGGGACGTGATTTCGTTGTGAAAACAGAAGGCGACGACAGCATCTACCAGGGGCTTGTCTTCGTGGAAGGTGTTGGTGGCACTTTCTGCGCTGGCGGCGACAGTGGGTCATTCGTTCGCTTGGAACACGGCAATGTACCCCTAGCTATGGTTGTGGGTGGTAATCTAGAGGATAGAGAAATAGCAAATAGCGACCATTCCCGTATTTCTGCTTGCTATCCACTGAGCAAGAGTCTTATGGAGCTGAAGAAGGTGTCCCGTACAAAGTGGATACTGGAGGATGAAGCTCACCTTCAGTGCTTGCTGCCTGGCCGATATTCAGACCGGTGCTGAGTCATTAAGTGATGTGATTATGGCGAACATTTTGTTGCCACGAATTATGACTGAGTCACACCCAAGTTAGGGAGACAGTTTTGTGACCAAGATACAATTGTTCCTAGGGATTATTCAGACTAGTAGGACTGATTAAAGTTGGTGACATGTGTCGCATATTTACTACTTTTGATAGTGTTGTGATCAAATGTCGGTCTATAAAAACAAAGTGCTGCGTCATCTTAACTAGTAGTAGTAACTTTTATCTATAACGGTGTGGCAACATAAATATTTAGTGCACAGTGAAAAGCATACAAGCTTACGTGGAGCTTATTACTGAAAATGGAACTATGTTATACATGCACTACGTTTTATACACAAAATCTACAAGTTCCACAAGGCCTTAAGATAGCTCTTATACTGAGCAACAAATACTGTTCTCTTAGTTGTTAAGTTAGAGAACATTACATGCTCCTCTGTTTGCACTGGTATCCCGCAAACAGTGTATCATCTCTAGTATTACTCTATTTCTCTTTACATGAAGGTTTCAGGGGAACGAAAGGCCTTTTACTTCTCAAATTATTACTATTGTTCTTTTATGCAGAATGAAGTGAAGACATGATAACGCTTGAGAATTGTATTTACTTTGTATATTTTTGTTATATAATTGTGATAATAATAACTAGAAAAGCACTCAGAGAGCGCAGACCTCCGCCAAGGCAGCCAAATCTCCATCCAATGCCGTTTCACCCCTAAATTTTCGATAGTTTTGATTATTGATTGATTATTGATCCGGATCACCACCAAAAACGAATCATCTGTTCCTTGGCCCACTTCTGACAGTTCCAGAAAATTTCATCAAAATCGGTCCGTAATTTAGTTTTTTTGTTATTGATTGATTATTGATCCAGATCACTACCAAAAACTAATCATCTGTTCCTTGGCCCAATTTGGACAGATTTTGTACATTTCATCAAAATCGGTCCATAACTTTTTGAGTTATAATGATGACAGACAGACAGAAAGACAAACAGACAAACAGGGTAAAAACATAACCTCCTTGGTGGAGGTAATAATCATATATTTATTTCGACTCCAGAATCCATAAAATGTTCAATAGATTGTACAATGTAAAGTACAAATAAGTTTATAGATAAAAATAATTAAGATTTATATTACATAAATCAGTTAGACCAAATTGTAATAAACAGTTATTAAAAGTAAAAAAAAAATCCAACGTTTCTTCAATGTAAAAATTAAAAAATTCCTGAATAAAATGTCTTAAAAATGTGAGTTTTTAATTCCTTTTCTTGCGATTCTTTTCGCCTAATAAAAATTGGTATTCCGTTCTACTGGTGCAGCTACATAAAATCATTTGTCACCATATGTTTTATCTTTGATTTGGGAATTTCCAGTTAAAGTTTGTCACCAGACCGCAGGGATCTTTGAGGACCATAATGTTTGACTAGATCAATTATATATGGCGGTGCTAGGTTATATAAAAATAGATGGGTTTTGTATAGACTCAACGCGTTTATGAACATGTAAATATCTACAAACATGCCCTTAATTGGTTGTTTGTGATTTGCTTTTCTACTACAAACTCACAAAATGGAGATGGTTGATAAAAGAAAGCACAAAGGTTGACAATTTTTGTAATATATACCTGTTTTGAGTATAAAGGCTAATGATGAGTTTTCCCATGTCGAGTTTGAAATATTACTCTTATCAATTTTAATGAAGCAAAGATATATTTATGATTAAATAATGAGCAATCATATCTTCGTATGCTGAGACAAGAAGACACTCTGGTATGTATAACGATGAAATAGACGGTATTCTTTCTTATTTCATGCGTTCAACAATCTATAGCAAACTTGTAAAAAAGATAAATATTTGAAATCTAATATCTGCCATTAGTTCAAAATATCACTGAATAAAATATCATTTGTTTTATTACGAAAAGCAATTTAATTATTTCTTATTTTTAGAATTCCATGAACATTTGGTCTCTCTCAGATATTGTTGTCCTGTGAATAACAGCATGGTTTTTCGTTTAATACAGTGAAAAGGTAGATCGTTTCTAAGATGACTAAGCTTGCAAGGTCCTGTGATTGAGGATGGAAATGCCATGGCTC